ATTGGTCCTCCTCGCTGCAGAATGTGGCCGTGCAGTTTGGGAAAACAAGGCCAATAGATTCAGTCAGATGTGATAAAGCGTTCCTCTCTTGCTCGGGGGACTCTGCATAAAGAAACATTTTTAAGGGGATGTTTTTTTTTTCCCCCTTCTTCTTTTTATAACTTGGATGCCCCCGGCCTGTCAAACACAATCAGATTATGGGGCCTTTAAATCCTGGAGCTTCACTTGAGAAACGTTCATGTAGCTGTTGAGGAGGCTCAAAGGAAATGTGTGTTCACCTTTTGGATTGAATTTATCTCTGACCACGCGTCTGAGTATGAATTATCTGACCAAATTCTTCCGTACCCCATCAGGGTTGTACTGGAACATCTGAAAGCAAGCGTGCAAGCTGCCTCTTTTTCTCCGAACACCACTTCAAAAAGCATTACAGGACACTCGTGTCCAGAGGAATGCCCTTAAACAAACATATCAACTGAGAGAAGCAATCAACATGTCACACATTGACAAACACCCGTCAGGACAGAAATGCCAAGAATTTCTTGATTGAATGGAACCCAATGGGGAACAGCAGGCGTGGATGTACATTATAACATTACGGGCTCCATTCCCAGATTGAGCTTTACAACTGGTTCAGTGATTGCTTTCAGTGGCTGATGTCAATTAGAGATGCTTTTCGGTAAACAGGCTTGATTCAGATCCCGTAAAAACCGTGACCCGAATTCGCATATTAACAGTAGGATGCTCCAGAGCCGCATCTCGCTCGCTGGGATCAAAATTAAAAACAGGCTTCTGCCTCGCTACATGTGTCGCTCCAGATCTACACCCTGAGCCGGAAAGGGTTCACTATAGCACCGCAAAATGGTTCGTTAGCCTTGAAACCATGGCAGCGTGCTTTCAGAAAGGTTCACCGAGCTATAAATACTTCTACAAGTGGTAATCCACGAGATCCTCATTGGAGGATCTTGACAGGTTTCTGTAGGGGGTACTTTTTTTTTTTCATCAGCCACAGAAGCTACTCATGTTTAATCTCTCATAGCCATTATCTGAGCAGAAGCAAGTTCACCCAATACAGTTTTAGTGGTTATTACAGCCCACTGGGTCCCCATCCCTTTGTAAGCAACGAGTTTCTCCAGATCTGCATGAGCTTAATGAGAGGGAGGTCTGCCTGTATGAGATTAGCTCTTCTTTTATTTCTTCTGAGGACATAAAACACATAGGTTGCTGTGTGATGGAAGATATCTGGGAAAGATTCCGTGCACTAGCAGTATCTGCAGCCACTGTACATGAATCAGTGGTAGAGCGGAATTTATTTAGATGCAAATGTCACAGATTATTACTGGCGTGAATGCATGAAATGCTGTAAATCAGCAGTTTTAACAGAGTGTTTTAGTACTGCGCTAGATTCTTTATGAGGCTCCCCTAATTCTTCACTGTTATTTGAACTGTTACCGCCCACTTTGAGTCATTAACATTGCACATACAGTAGCAGAAGCACTGCTTTCCTGATCAAACAACCCTTGAGGAACCCTTCTTTTCCTGGGTGTAAAAGCCCCCCGAATGTGTCTGACTCTTCCAACATCGGAATATTTTCTTCACTGAGCACAACACAGGAATCCGTCTGAGGTCTATGATTTACAGCTCATTTGTGTGATTCAGAGCGGGAGCATACAGTACGGGCAGCAGCAGCAGCAGCAGCAGCAGCAGCAGCTCGTGGCCTCGGCCCGCACAAAAGGACACAGGCTGACAAATGGCACACCTGCACTGGAGCCTTTGTCCGAGTCAGCACTTGAGCCTACCGTCTGGGCTATAGGTGCAGTGCTGCAAGTCCAACCTCAAGGCCCCCCACTCATTAGGAAGTTAAAGGAGCGCGTTGGCAATGATTGATTATGCAGTAACATTTAACAGCTGCGTTAATGGTGGCGTTTGCGTGGGACTTATTACCGGGTTGGTATGTAGATACAAGACTGGGAGACTAAATCGATCCCTCCAGTGGTGTTGCTAGTGGAGACAGACTGTAGTTAGTCCCGGTTGCAAATACATCACTGAATCTAAGTAACTTCAAAACATTCTGATTCACCAAAGCCTTAATTAGCTGCTCCACTAATAACCATCCAATCATTAGCACTAGTAGGCAATTACATGTGTGCAAATTGCAGGCCATGAAACACTGTTTTACTTGTCTAATGAAGAGATAAGAGTCTGGCTGCTGTTAAAGAAAAATGCTCCCAAACCCAACGTGAAGTCTAATCTCTTCGGAGGTGATATTCATTCCAGCTCTCTCTGGATTCTCTCTCTCCTCTGGTGACTCGAAAACCCAAATGCAAAAACCACGGTGGCACATTCCAGACCTTACATTTATTACATCCCTTTTAAATCTCACTGAGCAAAACACAGCCGCACGCATCGCCTGCTAATCTTGTCTTCGGGAGAAGCCTTTGAGAGCAAATATCTTTGTGTTTGAGAGCCCAGCGTGGAGTGATAATGGATTATACAGTTGTAACAACAGACAATAGGACACGTGTGTTTATGCACATCTGTGGGTGCATGTGTTACTGAGCTAGTCATGTGGACTGAACGGTTTATGTGGACAAACAGGACAACAGCGTGTGGCAGTAAGGGGTCTCCATGGAGGGAGCAGGGGGGAGCCGTCTGTTTGTTTGTTGCGACGATTGGCACACTGTGTCATACGTGGCTCCATGGAGCGCCCGATCCGCCGAGGCAAAGGAACCCGCTCCTCACAGTGCGTAGATGTGCTCGTCTGAACCCTCAGCAGCACACTATGGGTGGATGCTGAGCGCGGCTGAGCGATACAAAGCCTGGCGGACACGGTGACATCATCCCTTTCCATACCTTCCCTTCCCCTCGCGCACACGCCCCCTACCTACGATGAAGTGGTCGACCGGCCAGCCAGCAGCCAGCCGCGCACGCTCCCGGTCAGCCAAGGTAGACAATGGGAGGGAAAAAAAGGGAGGTTTTGCTGTGGCGAGGCGCACAGATATGCCTCGATCAAACAGGTAGCTTATAGAAATTACAACCATCCTCCCCTCCTCCTCCTCCTCCTCCTCCTCCTCCTCTCCTTCAGCCTCCTGTCTCCCAGCAACTCGGCTACAGCTGTGATTATCATAAGCCAATAGCCTACCTGGCACCCCACAGGTACAGAGGGGGGGCAGATGCATGGGCGCTGCTGCTGCACATGCCTCAGTGTGCTGCTCAAAAGCACAGAGGAAGGCAACAGAGAGGGGAATGGGCTTTGTGTCAGGCACACAGGTAGGACAGCAGAGGGGCGCTGTGTGTGTGTGTGTTGGGGGTGAGGGGTGAGACAGGGGGGAGAGGGCTGTAGAGGCAGGATCAGTACAGGGGCTGGCAGCAGTGGTCTCAGTGACTGACAAGCCATTGAGATGCGATAGCAGTGTGGAGGTGCTGCTGGCATGTAGAGCAGCGCTGGTCAATCACTGTCATTCCCGTCACGTCCTCAGCGCCTCACCACGGCCCGTCTGAATAACGGCACCGGGGGTTTGTCATAAGCAAAAGGTCATTTAGGCCGGCGGGGCGCGCACGCACGCACGCACCACTCATGTTAAAGTTGGACACACGCACGCGCGTATTCGCACGCGTACAGAGGCGCGCGACAAGGATGATTTAAGGCGAGAAAGAAGAAAAAAGACAAAGTGTGGAGATCCGTGGCTGCGGTGCGGACACGCAGTCACACGCGCGCGCGCTCACACGTAGCTGCACGTGCACGTGCGCGCACGCCTAAGGTGATCCATTGCTGCGGTTCATTTGGGAATGAAATCATGTTATACGCCTTTCTCTCTCTTCCTCGCTTCTGGAGGAACAGCAACGGTCAGGCTGTTTCTAAAGCCTCTGTGGTTTTACACAATATTACATTTAAACATTAGCCACCGTGTTTTATGCGCTAAAAAAAGAGAGAAATGCGGTCTTACCAGTTTGAAAACTCAACAGCAAACTCAGGAGCAGCAGCCTCTGCATGGTTCAGCCGACCAATAAGTCCGTTATTGGCTCAGACCTCCGTGAGGACAGCATCAAAAAGCGGGAGTTTACTGACTTTAATGATAATTATAGAAAGAACAACAATCCTTCTGCGTCGTCCCTCCTCGTCTGTCCCCTGACTCGGTCTGGACTCGTTCAGCTTTTACACCATTTCACTCCTTTTTTCCACCTCTCTCCTCTTCTTTGCTCTCCAGCGACAGTCCGTTTTCTACTCTACACCGAGGCTGCAAGCCAGCAGCAATGGCTCAGGAGACTTCCGGTCAGTTCTTCAAAATAAAATCCACCTCGAAAAAGACTTGCTTTTGAGGCATTAAATTGAGTAAAGGATATGTATTAGCATATTGTGAATAACTGTAGTGTTTATACATATACCATTTACAATATTTATAATACATTCATATTTAATTTACCTTTTCTTTCTTACAATGAAGAAAAGTCCCTTTGTTCTGAAGCCATTTTTGTGTAGAAACACTTTTGGCAGTTGTTATCATTCAGAACTGTTTGAAGATGTTGAGATCCCCTTTTCCAATAATAAGAAAGTTCTTAAAATAATCGAAGTGTGCTCTTTTTGACATCCTCTAACAACAAATACAATGAAACCGAATCAAATGAAATGTGACCACGCTACTTCCGGTGTTGTTCTCGCTGTAATCTGTCTGACTTGACGTCATATTCTCATTAGCGGGGCATTCCTCTCTCTCTCTCCCTCCTCTCTCTCCTCCTCTCTCTCTCTCTCATTCTCTCTCTCTCCTCTCAGTGGCCTTAAGGGTGCCCCGCAGAGTCGCCATCTTGGTGCTCATCTCCTCCCCCCCCAACGATGGTCTTTCCTCTCTCACGTCAGCAGCACCACAGCACTGCCCCCTTTTTTCTCTCCCTCTGGATCTTGCTCAGGGGGAAAAAAAATACATTATGAGATAAAAAAAAAATAAAATAAACCAGCTTAGAGAGGCATAATCATTTTGACACATTTGCTGTAGTCTGGTGTGCGTGGTTTCTGCTGTTCACAGTGTGCCATTAGGTAATGAAGTCATTTTTCATACCTTAACTCACCTCTGCACCTATATTTATAATACAATGATGCAGACGTCACACTAAACACACAAATATCCTCGAATATCATAGAAATAATATAGAAATGTGATAAGACAGCCTGCGTGAGGCCAGCTGTTATTGGACCGACTGATGGCATAGTAATAGTATGTCACACTGAGCTTTAAGGTCAAATAAAAGCATTATATTCTTAGAAAGATAGATCCTGTGGACTGTAATACACCGCAGGAACATTCACAGGCACTGTTACTTCCTGTGATATTGACTATGTACAGCAGTGATGTCACTATGATGAAACAGGGCGAACAGATGATGAATAAACACGCCACGTCGTGGCTGCTGTCACATAATGTACAATTACATTTATTTTGGTGATATCCCCCCCCCCCCCCCCGCCCGAGGATACTGGTGCTGTCACGCTTTCGCTAGTAGGTCGCACAGTGAGTAGACAGTGAGACCTGCTGGGGACAACTTACCTGATGGCTGGAGGGCCCTTGCGTCCTCGACCGACGACCCTTGCATGGCTCCGAGGCCCAACTGGAAGCAGTCCCTAACATATATCTGCGGCACGCACACACATTTCACTCGGCCATGTTATTGGCGGGACTGTCGAGATGTTAAACATACCTGATAGATGCTTTCCTGCACCTGGTGCCCCGGATAATCTCTTCACCTTTTCGATTTACAAATAAAATTGGCTTTTCCAGCCCGCCTTCACTGCCCTGCGCGCGCGAGGCGGATCAAAGCTTCTGGGAGGCGGCTGAGAGAAAACAATAGCAGCGTAATTATGAATTTTAGTACTTCTTATATGTTGAAATGTGTTAGGGATATAATAGGGTTTATTTATTGAGCTGTTCAGGGGAAACAATATATCTGTAGGCGACTCTGACTATATGGCCTA